TTTCCTGGGACTCACTTGGTAGTCCAGGCTGGCCTCGAACTCACAGAGATCCGCCTGGCTCTGCCTCCCGAGTGCTGGGATTAAAGGCGTGTGCCACCACTGCCGGCCCAACAACCTTCTTGAGTTTGTATTCTGTCTCAATTTCTTTCACTTTGTATATATAATCTTTATATTATGGTTCGTCTTGTATACTTAAGCTTTCCCCAAACTGCCTTCAAGGTCATGATTTGGCTTACTTTTTAAATTGAGATTTGGCTTAGTTTAGTGCAAATATCTAAGGTTCATTCAGCCTATGAATTTTTATAGACTAATATGTCCACTACTTAGATCAAGGTGGAGAACATTTCCCGTCCCCAAAATGTTCCCTTACTTCTTTTACTTACTACCTTTCTTCAAAGTTAGCCAGACTTCCCACCCTTAGCACCATAGATTGCTTTTTAGCTAATACCTCATGTAAATAAAAATCATGAAGTTTGTATTCTTTGGTACTGAATTATTTTATTGAAATAATTTCTGTGTATCTCTTCTGTGTTAGTTCTATAGGAATACTTTGCTTTTTCATTGTTGTATAATTTTGTATAATTTCATTGTTGTATAAGTGTAGCCATACTAAAACTTATTTTGCAACTTAAAATAGGGTGTGGATATTTGTGAAAAGTCTCATTGTGAAAGAGTTACAAAGAGAATTCTGTGAATGGCTCAGAGAACTTTTTTATATAATTAAATTCATAGTTTTTCCTTAATCTTTATCTTCTCAAGGTATGTGAACTATTTGCTACTGTTGACCATGTGCTCTACCCTCATACTCATCCCATTGCTGTTTCTTTGACTCCCTCCTGTTTTTGTTTTTCTCTTCCTGTTCTTAAAACAGTCCTTGGCTCCTACCTTTTTTCTTTATTGCACTCCATTCTGTAGCAAGCTCTTACATGGGAAGTGCTTGGATGTAGAACAAAGGTCTGTAGTCTTTCATTCATTCATGATTGTGTTATAGAACCTCCTGGTAGAGTCATTCAAGTCTTTAGGCCTGACTTTCTTAGATCTGCATTGCCAGCTTTGTGCTTAATGTTTTAACTAAGACTCAGTGTGTATGTATGTATGTTTTTTGTTTGTTTTGTTTTGGTCTTTCAAGATAGGGTTTCTGTGTAGCCCTGGCTGTCTGGAACTTGCCCACCTCTTAAGTTTTAACTAAAATATATATGCATTCAGTAAACACTTGTTAATTGTTAGGCATTTTCATGTAGTTATTGTTTGTAAAGCTCTTCTCTGTTAAAATTCTACTCAAGCTTACAGGCAGAATGTAGATGTAATTCTAAACGGGTCTTATTAAATAAGAAACACAGAGCCAAATAAAGAGTTAAAAGCCCAGAGATTGAGCAGTAACCAAGAGCTAAGACCACCTGATCTTACCATTAGCTGCTGTCCTTCCCTTGAGAGAGAGACCTTCTTCCTGTCCGGTCTTTTTATTGCCTTTCTGTTCTGCCTTCTCATTGGCTGTAAACCCAACCACATGACTTTCTTGTCACTGCCTGTCTATACAGACCGCCAGGTCTCTATAGTTGGTACTGAGATTAAAGGCGTGTGTCCCCATGCTGGCTGTGTCCTTGAACACACAGAGATTCTGCCTGCCATGTGATTGGATTAAGGGCATGTGCTACCACTACCAGACTTCTGCTTGCTCTTAGCGTTGATCCTCAGGCAACTTTATTAACATACAAATAAAATCACATTTCAGCACAAATAAAATATCACCATAGCAGAAGATCTTTTTCTTTCCATGTGGAATTTTTTTTTAAAAGATTTATTTATTTATTATGTATACAGTGTTCTGCCTGCACATATCCCTGCAGGCCAGAAGAGGGCACCAGATCTCATTACATATGGTTGTGAGCCACCATGTGGTTGCTGAGAATTGAACTCAGGAAGAACAAGCAGTGCTCTTAACCTCTGAGCCATCTCTCCAGCCCCTCCATGTGGAATCTTTAGAGAATCCTTAGGTGGGTTTCAGATATCTATTAATCTCTTGAAATTCCATTTCTCAAAAGTCTCTGGCCCAAAATGTAGAACATTAGGTTCTCAGATAATAAAATGAGAGTTGGAAAACACATAGTGATTAAGTGTGAAATACATATTCTTTGTTTTGTAATATATTCTTTTATCCACTCCTAGTTATATAGTAGATGCTTAATAAGCATGGAATGAAGAAGAAAAAAAATCAGTGTTTTAGTTCTCCCTTTTTGTGCTGTGCCAGTACTTTTTTGTCAGGACCACCAGCCCTCAAATAATGACACATAGACTTATTGATAATTATGAAAGCTTGTCCATTAGCTTAAGCTTGTCCCACTAGCTCTTATAATTTAAATTAATCTGCTTTTATTAATCTACCTTCTTCCTTGTGGCTGGGTTACCTCTACTTACTCTACATCTGTACTGAATGTCTGACCTCTTCA